TAGGGTGGGTTAATTACTAGCACAATGATTTCAAATTCTGTCTCCAGAGCACTCTCGTATGCACCTAATAAGAAGTATGGTTCAATTAATGTTGATTTTGCGTTCTTCCTTATCTTCTTTCCATCCTTTTTCTATATTTTTTTTTGGGTGTATCTAAATAACAATTTGAGTAAGATTAATAAAAAAAAAACATGGCAATGCCAAAATTTGAAATTGAGAAGTTTAATTGAGAGAATGATTTTAATTTATAAGATGATGACAATTTGTTCAACAAGGATTGTTCAATGCATTTTGAAGAAAATGATTAGAAGTAACGGTTGATAAGGCAAAGACAATGAAATTTCAATTGAAAGCTCGAACTGCCATTTTCTTATCGTTGAGAGATAAAATTCCTAAGAGAAGTAACCAAAGAGGTATCAACCATTCAAGATTGCCAAATTATATATGTATATATTGGAGAAATACATCAAAATTAGTTCTTGAAAAAATAGATGTGCACTCTTTAGATTGAGGGTGCTACGGATTTGAGAAAACATATGGATGACTTTAACAAGATAGTTTTTATCTCAAAAATGTACGTATGAAAATATATGAAGAAGATCGCACAATAATTCTTCTCATGCCCTTGTTAAAGATATATGAATATATAATATACATAATATTATATGGGAGCAATCTCTCACAATTTCTTACGTTAATTATGTTCTTATTTTAATAAAAATAAAAAAAAAATGAAGGAAAAAAAGTGTAATGGTGAACCCTAGCTCTCAGAGAAAGCTCATAATATTATAACAGTAAATTATTTATTTATTTTTTTAATGTTATAGTTAAAGGTAATGACATAGAGAAAATATTTCTCTACAATTATGAGAGACATTTTAAACAAAACAATCTTGATAGAAGAAAAGGGTAGCTTGAGAAAAATGAAACGATTGAAAAGTTGATGTCGTTACTAAATCTGAAGGTTTTTTTTATTTGTTCATTTTTGTTCAACTTCTTTGTCACATTTTCCTTCTTTTATTTTCGAAAACAATTAGTAGTTTGTTGGAGAAAATCAAAGAAAATGTATGGGAGATAAAAACATAGCTTTTTAAGAACATTGTATTTGAGCAATGTTAGATATATGAATAATAAAGTCTTTATAAATGACTATTGGAAAATAAAAAGACGGTCTTGAAGAAAAAAAAATCAAAATTTGGGATTACTATTAATGTAAATAATAACTAAGTTGTTAACGTGACACGTTATAATAATGTTGGTCACTACTTACTTGAAGTTTGTAGAGGAAAAAAAATAGATGGCTTCATGTTTACATGAGAGACTAACAATGTGAAGTTTTACATGCATACCACTCATTTCATATATATTTACATTTCTAGCAGCTAAACTTCAACTTTTACATATATACATCATCTTACTTATACATAAGATGTATATCTCATTTTAAAGGTTGGGTGTTAGGGATTTAAATACTCTTGAAATTTAGAATAATGCAAAATAAAGTTGAATACTTTGAATACTTTCATTGATATGAACTGGGGGTATAAATAACCTTTACAAGAATCCTATAATAGAAAAAATAATAAAAAAAATAAATGATATGAAAGGAAAGATATATCACCTGATATCTCCAATAATTAATTCATATTAATTATTAGGAGAAAATGGAGATAATAGAGAATAATATAAATTAGGGAAGCAAATAATTCTTAATATATTAAAAGAAAATATCTCCTTATATTAAGGAAAGAATTTATTCATCATAACTAGGAATAAATTATTTTCTATTATAAAGCTAACAGGAAGGACAATAAATCCTGTAATTTAAAGTAGATATTTCAACACTCCCTCTCAAGTTGAACATGGTTGAAAGCCATATTTAACTTGCATTTGAAAACACCGGCTGTGGTATGCTAACTGGACGTGGTATGCAAACTGGACATGTAACATCAATTTGCCAACAAGAAATTCCAACAATCCTCAAACCGTAAGTACCAAAGCCGATGGTCCCGAAGCCGAGAATGCCGAAGCCTAAGAGTGTTGAAGCCGAGAATGCCGAAGCCTAAGAGCTTGAAAGTCGAGAATGCCGAAGTTCGAGAGTGTCGAAGCCTGAGAGTGGATTAGATGAGGGCTAACCTCAATTGATGAAGTTGTAAGTCACCGGTTGACTGAAATTGCATGAAAGCAACAAGAAGACTGCAATAGTGCAGCAGAAGAGATGCAGGAAAGCTACAAGAAGGCTGTAGAGAGTTTGCAGGGCAGCTGCAGAGGGCCAACGACAGTACTCAAAAAAGCTGTAGTGCTCAGAGAAGCCTGCAATAATGCTGCAGGAAAGAGGAGTGCTTTCTTTTGGAAGAGCTGGCGGAAATCTGCAGGGAAAAATTTGTTGAGGTGGATCCGACGATGAGAAAAACAGCATGAGGGAGGTCCGATGGCGGGAAAGGCTGGAGAGGAGAGAGAAGAGAACCGGCTGCAAGAGAAAGCCCGAAGGTCCAGTCGGCAGCAGATATGTCCGCAAGAAGTTCTGGAGGCAGGAAAGACCGCAGAAGGGAATTTCACCGGCATGAAGGACTACAAGAGGGAGTTCCAGTGGCAGGAAAGCCATCAAGGGATAGGTTCCGCTATAGGTAGGTGCTTCAATGGTCCTGAAAGGAAATCAGGAGGTCTGAAGACTGGAAGATCTCGCAAAAGGATTTGCGACTGAAAAAACTGTAGGG